GCAGCAGCAGCACTCCGCCCCCACGCTCCCCGGGTGCGCTCGGCCACATGCGGTCAGCGAGCTTTCCCGAGAATCGAGGCTTCATTCGACGCGCCCTGAACCCTCCCAGCCACAGGCGCCCGCCCCGTCCATCATCACACGGGGGCCGATGGGACGCTTTTGTCCGAAGCGCCAAAGGGAGCCGAGTCAGGAAGAGAAAGGGAGCCGGACCAGGGAGAGGACAAGTCAGGAAGGCGGGTCTTGCGGAGGCTTTATGAATGGTGGTTTTGGTCGCGCGGAAAAAAGGGGACGCCGGGGTGAGGAGACAATTGGAGGTATCGGCCCTCCGAGTGCCCGGGGCGTTGGGATAGCTTCGCCGGTGGCTGGCCGCAAGAGCTTGCACCGTGCTGGCAGGGAAATCACCGTGGTCCAGGGCCCGACTGGCTCGGACATTCTGGGAACGCCTCCACCTTCTAGAAAAATGAGACGACCAGGCGGGGGAACGGGGGCGGGCAGGGAAGAAGGGTCGGTCGTGGTAGGGACACCCGAGCTGGAGGGACCCGGTCGCCGGCGCGTCCGGCCAGAAGGGAGGGTGGCCGAGTCCCCCGTAGCGTAGCGATCAGGCTTGCGGCACGCACGTTCCTGGGTGGGAAACGAAGAGGGTATCTGCATCCATCGCAACTCCGTTATTTCTTATCTAGCAACGAGAGGCCTCCCGCGATGGGCCAGATCACCGCGTCACCGCAAGGCACTTGAGCTTTACAACACTAATAGAAAGGGAAGGGTAACGCACAGCGAAAGAGAACAATGATAGAGACAAGTGAGCAGCTGAACTCGCACATACTTCTTTTTTATTTCTTTCATTAAAACAGACAAGCCTCCATCATTTCGTTTCTCCCTACACCGCACAAAAAGAAGGAGGATGCCGCTGAATCTGTCGCAGCACTCTCCACCGACATGTGGCGTGCGAGTGACCGTCAGGCACGGGAATGACTCGATGACCCGATGCATCAAAAAGGCGTTTGCATGGATGGAAAGTGTCAGGACAGGCCGTCCATCCGCCTCCCCTCTCCCCGCTCCTCTTCTTCCTCCTTTCCATCCTTCATTTTTCCTTTCCTCTGCCTTTTTCACGCTTCAGATCCCGCGCGCCCGGGCCCGCGTCGCTCAGGCCTTCTTGTAAGGGACGCCATCGAAAGAGCCCTTCTTTTTGAACTTCTCTCCCGCGAATCCGGCCGCACGCACAATCTGGGGGAAGCTGGAGTCCTCGGGATCCACGTCCATGGCGCGAAGGACCGCCTTGATGATGTCCCTGACGGCGTCCTTCGCCAGTGGGGCACCGTTCATTTGCGTAAGCTGCTGCTCGCAAGCTTCTACCTCGGCCAATTTGGTTTTCAGGCTCTTGATTTCCACTCGAAGCTGAATGAGGAGATCGTTCACGTCGTCGATGGAGCATTCCCCGTTCAAGCAATTGTCCGCCTCCTGTCACGTGGGAAATGAAGAAGGCATATTACGCGAGTGTTGAGTGGGGCTCGTCCGCTCTGGCGACAATCCGCCAGATGGCGCGAGGACGAGTTGCTGAGCAAATTTTGCCCCTGCTGTGACCCGTCCCGACATAAGGAGGACAAGAAGATGCGATTAATTTTAAACCGTGTCCCGTCGATGACCAAGCAGCAATCACTCGGGACAAGGCGAAAGATTCTGCCTGTCCTCCAAATTCAAGAACAGCGACAGGAAGGCGCCAGAGTTTAAACGTCCTCCCTCCCGCAGCTCTATAAAAAGCTTGGTGAGAATGACAAGTCGGCTAAGAAATACCTTTCAAAGGATATAAGAATCACGTACCGTGATGAAATTCTTCTCCGCCTCAGCAAAGACGACCTGGGAGGCAGACCGTATGACACGAGGAGCGGGGGGCACGAAGGCAAAAACCGACGCTGCCAGGAGGGCCAAAATTGACAAGCGCAAGAACATCATGGTTCTAGTGGTTTTGTTTGGCTGTGTGTATTGGCACGATCGAAGTAAGCGGGTGCTCATGAAGGGCTGAAGAGGGCGAGGCAGCAGATTGATATGAAACCAACTTCAAGTATCGAACGGAGCACTTTCGACACTTTTTGGGAGTTGCTAACATGTCTCAAAATGCAGCTGCAAGGCAAATTGAAGGAACGATGCGATACAATTTTTCCAGAGCGGAGAGAAACTGCAGGTGAATGGTGAAGAAAACTTTCGTATAGAAACAAATCTAGGTGCGCTTCCCTCCTTCATCGAGAACAATCGGAGGACGACCACTGTGGGCAAGCGGAAAAAAAGAGGGAGAGAACAGCAAACAGAAGAGACTCTTTGCCTATGCACCCAGCACCGCCGTATGCAAGTAAAACGTCACAGACTGGAGAGGCAAAGTCTTGTCAAGACGCAGCCTAATCGGTGCGTGTGCCAAAAGCGCCAGTATAGAGAGGAAGCCGATGCATCTGGTCAGGGTTTGGCCGGCACTTCAAGCTTCCCAGTCCCTGGATTGCCCTCTGTCACGACTGGCGTGCTGCGGCCATGCAGGTGACGGGCGTCACATTGGGAGCGCGAAAAGGGTTGTTCTTGCCATAATATATGTTCATATGCGTACTAGTATATGACTGCTGAGATAAGGATATTGTGGAGAGGGATTCGGAGCTCTGACCGCAAAGCAAATTCTCATTTCCCCGGTACTTACGACGAATAAGCAGGCAAAATGCATGTCTGGGAGGAGGAGGGCACAAGTTCACTTTTCAGATAGTAATGAGAGGGTTCAACGTCTTGCATGCGCATAGATGACATCACTTACAACTTTTAATGGAAGCTGTGGCTATTTTTCCCCTCACTGGCCCCTTTTTTCCATGACCTCAGAACCATACGAATGGAAAGCTTTGCAACTCTAGCGATCATTTATTTATAGTTACAAAAATCCTCCTTACTGAGGCTCGCAAATTCTGGTTGATCAGTTGTAAGCCGCTATCTCTAATTCATGAGCCAGTTTCGTACCTTTGAAGGGTGAGAGTCGACAGCGAGTTTTATGAAACCCCTGTAGGCAGCGGTGGCTTAGGAACATTGTCTTCACGAATCCCTTTCCGCATATGTATTAGTCATGCTTTTTTCCATAACCATCCCCCATTAAATGGTAAAAATGCGGAAAGAGTAGGACAGACACAACAAAGTCAAATCCCAAAACATATAATAGTCAGATTCTGGAGCAAGCAAGCTTTCTCAAAGACTTTCCAGCGAGAGTATCGCATTAATTCGCAGGTGGTTTTGATGATCGTCTCGAGGTGATAAACAAATATCGTAGCTTTCGGCATCATGACCTGCCAAGTGTTGCGCAGCGCTAGAACCTTACTGCTTGCAAAGGCGCTTACAGATGATTAATCAGACAATTCAGAAATTTTTAATGTGTATAGTTGCATTTCATGGCGCTTACTCTCTTGTCCTTCGAATCGTTTCATGGCTTGTGCTTCTCATGTATTTTGAAGGTATCTCTAGAAAGGCCGTCAGAGGAAGGCTGCCAACGCACCATATCAAGTCCCACTGCTGCTTTCAGATATTTTACGGAGCTTCTGGCTTTGAGAAACTGAAGCACGAAGAATATAATATTCGAAAGCTCCTGACACAAGTCTTTCCGTAGCTGTGGTATGCTACGTGCCACGTTAATGTTTATCACCAATTGAGCACATTTACATACCGCTGTCGAGAGAACGATATATTGTCACTCTTTTAAAGTGTAGACAAAACTTGTCTGAACACTTTTCATCGTCTTACGCGTGCCTATTTCTTCAACTGTTGGGTTCGCGCCCATCTTGGCCCTCTTTATTCCCTAAAATCATCCCCGGATGTACACGACGCCCCTGCCCCCCCATCGCCGAAACCACGTCTCCCCCGCCTCAACACCACCCCTTGCGTGTCAAATTATTTCTTGTGTCACTCGCCTTGAGACCGTGTCACCCGTCAGAGATGGTCATGTAGCTGAGTGGCCATGAAGTGAAAGATGACTGGATGCAATTAGACGCTACTTTATGACTAAAGTGGCGTCAACCTCTCTTCCACCTGGCGCACTCCGACCTATGTCCGATCTTAGGCGTTCACCCAGTAAATGGTTACGCTACGAAAAATATGTGAGGCACCCAATTCGAACGCATTGAGCAACTGACGATACTCCTTTTTAATCCACGTATTACGCAGGTCCTCTCGTTCTTACCCAGAAACAACATGTTGCGCTCTGCAGCCTGCCTAGGTACCCTTGTGGTCGTTTGCATCATCGGCCTCGTCATCGGGTTCAGACCATCCTACAATTCACCCTCTCAGAGTAGCAGGCCTGTCACATTAAAAAGTTGCGTGCGGGACTTCCATTCACGCACGTTTTCCAGCCGCGGTCAGAGAAGCAGACTTTTCCAAGGTCCGCCCGGCAGACCTACCCGCGAGAACGAGCCTGACGAGTACTTCAAGTCGAACTTGGAGAAGAAAGAGCTGTCAGAGCGACTTGTGGACCCCCAAGTTTTGATCGCTGTGGTTAGCATCCTTGCCCCATTTGTGGCAGTAGGGGTTCTGCTGGGCGGCGGCTTCCTGACGCAGTAGACGGGATCACACGAATTTGGCAGCAATACACATCACAAAATCGACGTAACTAGTCTCCTCGTCCCTCACCACGTCTTGCAGGTGTCATTAAAGAATAATCGACGCCATGGAAGGCATTGTTAACTTCGTATGGGATTTCGCCAGTAAATGCCAACATGTGCGTCAAGTACAACCTAATGAAGGGGAATCACGCCAGCGAGATCGAAAAGGCTTTGTCTCATCGACATAATTTAAAGAAGGCGACACATGGATATGTGCCGTCCGATGACAAAGATGGAAGATGAAAGAATGCGGAGAGATCGTGTCTGGCATCGGTGAGGCTCTTGATTTTTTCCCTTGTTGCTCGGGTTTAGCGGCGGTTTTTACACTCTCATCCATCATCAAATACTATTTACCGCTGCCACCTTATGGTTTCAACCTGCCTTTCCTCCCTCGAACTTGTGTCGGAAAACTCCGGCACCAGGTGCTCTCTTCCATCTTCTCGTGGGTAGGGAAGGGAGGAGGAGGGGGCAGCCACTTGTCCTTTCGACATCCGGACTTCACTCACCTCCCCAAAGCATGTGGTCTCTAGCCACCCTACTTCGTCTCATGTGGTGAAGTTGGGTGAACCGAACTTGGGCTCTAAAGCATCGGTGTGCATGGCGGATGACCGACGCATTGGGCGGAAAAATACCCTGATCGTTCTTGGTCACAACTATGATAAATAGTTTTGTCTTGTGGTCGATACAGTTGTACTCATTTGCAAATGTACGACCTTTTTTTTTTAATATAACTCGTTGTCTGTAGCAAGAAATCAATCAGTTGTTATGATGAATAGGATGGGTCCCGGGGTCACCCACCTTTTTGCTCCTATTTCAAATAAAATAATCCCCCTTCCCTTCAGCGAAAAATAGGCCACGCGAGGTGTTCCACTAATGAAATAGTTTTATCTCAGCACTCTTGCCACAATTGTGAGCTCCGCTTTTCCATGATCACGTGCTGGCATTTCTGAGTGCAGGGGCTGGTCACGGGAGGTTTTGGTTCCCTCCTCTGTGCTGCATGTCGTCGAGGAGGTCTATCGTGGGGGGGCACTTGAACTGAGTTCAGCATTTTCCCGGTAGTTTACACATGTGACATGCATCTGAATGTATGGAAGCGCGATGCTGTCACTCCGGGTAAATTGATTGGCCTGGTGATGAACGCTACCTCGTCAAACGGAGTCTGTCTAGTCGTGCTATCCTTATGCCCATCGATCTCACCATTTCATTTGCCAACACACCTAAGATTGCAAGGGATAGAATTTCTTGTCGTCTTCTTGGAGGTCCTCCTTTTTCGCGCTGCCTCTTCGTTGTTCTCTTAATAGCTGAAGACATCATGATGTTCGGCAAGCGCGACCTGGGCTTGGCCCTTTCAGACAAGGTCGAGGACAACGTGCTCACGCACACCCATGACGAGTAAGTACATGGACGTTACACCCCAGAAGACCCATAAAATGTGCATGACAGACGACGAAGAGAGGTTGATACGGCAAAGGGAAAGAGGGAAACTTGCCGGAAGCCGCCGTACGTTCGTAGAGAGGACTGGGATATGCCAAAGTCGCGACAATCGCAAAACATCTGATGATGCGTGTGCGAGCATCCAAGTAGGTTGGGCTCTGTAACTTCCCTCATTGTATCCTTGGTCCCATTGCTCTTTCCATCTGTAGCACGGCCGCAGACGTGGGGAGTGAGGCCGCGCGTGCCAAACGGGATCCCACGCGCAAGATCCAGCGGCTGCGACCCGGAGAGATGCCTGCCTGGGTTGAGGCGGAGGAGGAGGAGGAAGGCTTTGCGAGGGCGCGTCCTTCTTCAACCGGGGCCGCGCGTGGTCCTAGCCGGTGGGAGGAGGCCAAGGAGAAACGTGGAGGGGAGGGAGGAGGGGAGGAGGAGGAGTACGTGCCCACGCGACCAGCACAGCGAGAGGACCGGAGGCTGTTGCGAGTGGAGCACGCGAAGAGGGCGGGGAGGGTCGGACGGGG